TGCAACCGTGTGCAATGTGAACGCTTTAATCCGTTAACATGAGCGCAGAAAAAATATGCACCGCATACGCACTGCAAACAGAGTAATGTGAACCTGGCATTATGTGTGTGCGCTGTGAGTTTATAAACTTTAGTGACGATGTGACGCTGCCTTGATTGTGCAAGTGTCAATTCCTGTGTCAACTGTGCAGTGTGCAGCTCACTTATAGTCAGATGCGATGTGTGGTGATTTGAAGCCATTTGTGCATTTTGAGAGAGAAGGAGAGAGAGTGTGCTGTGATTCACTAACGCTGTTTGTGAAATTACGTCTCACACAAGGTTTTCAAATGACAAATTAAGTTATTTAATGAAGAAATATGAATTGTACCTCACCTTCAGCATTATAATAATTTTACCCGCACCGGACAGAGACTGAGACCTCTGAGTCAAACCTCTCACGGCAGCGTCATCAGCTTGAGATCTGCCTTTTTAGAGACCGCCGATCAATCATCCCAACGTGATTATCGGCCGATAGTGATCGTAGCCGATCAATCGGAGCACCCCTATTTATAATGTCACAAAAAAATCTATTTCATACAAATACTGTTCTTTTGAGCATTCTATTCATCAAAGAACCTGTAAAAATGTAGCCTATCAGTTTCCACAAAAAATGCGAGCGCATGCACTGGCAAACGTGTCGCCCTCGCATTAGGAGTTCTACAGGGATTTGGATACGTGTGTTTAGACGTAGGTCGGATGTCCAGATATCAGATATGTATCCGATTAAAATCCACATTTGGAAGTGGCTCAGATCGGATGCGAAAAAATCTGATCACGCGTGCATCAAATTCCGATCTGTGTCAGATGGTTTTTTTTCTGCTAGTGTAAACGCAGCCATTGATTCGGTGCGGAAATGATCTCTGCATTGCTGCAGATGCACCGCTCCTGGATCGCACTGACGGATGCAACCGTGTGCAATGTGAACGCTTTAATCCGTTAACATGAGCGCAGAAAAAATATGCACCGCATACGCACTGCAAACAGAGTAATGTGAACCTGGCATTATGTGTGTGCGCTGTGAGTTTATAAACTTTAGTGACGATGTGACGCTGCCTTGATTGTGCAAGTGTCAATTCCTGTGTCAACTGTGCAGTGTGCAGCTCACTTATAGTCAGATGCGATGTGTGGTGATTTGAAGCCATTTGTGCATTTTGAGAGAGAAGGAGAGAGAGCGTGCTGTTTGTGAAATTACGTCTCACACAAGGTTTTCAAATTACAAATTAAGTTATTTAATGAAGAAATATGAATTGTACCTCACCTTCAGCATTATAATAATTTTACCCGCACCGGACAGAGACTGAGACCTCTGAGTCAAACCTCTCACGGCAGCGTCATCAGCTTGAGATCTGCCTTTTTAGAGACCGCCGATCAATCATCCCAACGTGATTATCGGCCGATAGTGATCGTAGCCGATCAATCGGAGCACCCCTATTTATAATGTCACAAAAAAATCTATTTCATACAAATACTGTTCTTTTGAGCATTCTATTCATCAAAGAACCTGTAAAAATGTAGCCTATCAGTTTCCACAAAAATTATTTTTCAACATTGATAATAATAAATGCTTCTTGTGCACAACAAATCAGCACATTAGAATGATTTCTGAAGGATCATGTGACACTGAAGACTGGAGTAATGAAGCTGAAAATTCAGCTTTGCCATCATAGGAACAAATTACCTGTACATTTGAAAATATATTTGTGCATTTTGAGAGAGAAGGAGAGAGAGTGTGCTGTGATTCACTAACGCTGTTTGTGAAATTACGTCTCACACAAGGTTTTCAAATGACAAATTAAGTTATTTAATGAAGAAATATGAATTGTACCTCACCTTCAGCATTATAATAATTTTACCCGCACCGGACAGAGACTGAGACGGTGCCGCTACATGTCGTGCCAAACCTCTCACGGCAGCGTCATCAGCTTGAGATCTGCCTTTTTAGAGACCGCCGATCAATCATCCCAACGTGATTATCGGCCGATAGTGATCGTAGCCGATCAATCGGAGCACCCCTATTTATAATGTCACAAAAAAATCTATTTCATACAAATACTGTTCTTTTGAGCATTCTATTCATCAAAGAACCTGTAAAAATGTAGCCTATCAGTTTCCACAAAAAAATTTTTTCAACATTGATAATAATAAATGCTTCTTGTGCACAACAAATCAGCACATTAGAATAATTTCTGAAGGATCATGTGACACTGAAGACTGGAGTAATGAAGCTGAAAATTCAGCTTTGCCATCATAGGAACAAATTACCTGTACATTTGAAAATATATTCAAAATTTTACATTGTAATAATACAATTGTGAGACTTCTTTCAAACACATAAAAAAAAAAATGTACCGACCCCAAACTTTTGAACTGTCAAACAAAACAGAACAAAATAAAAAACAAACAAACCAACAAATTATATAGTTGTAACTGCATATATATACGTGTGTGTGTGTGTGTTTATGGGTGGACAATAAAAACAATTTTTATCTAGCCACTCAGCACACAGGACTCTGATCTCTGAATCCCTGTGGGTGGCTGCACTACAGGGAACACACTCACACACACAGATCCTCTAATCAAACTCTCTTTAATGGAATGATGGTGTTTAATTATGCCATGGAGCCCCGTTAGCACACTGAGTCATAAAGACGAGTAGAGTGCACAATAATGCCTGCGTGAGTGCATGGGCACACACCAAATCACTCCATTAGTGACCAGCATCAGGTCAGTTTATAGTTCTTGGACATTTGAAGAACTCTACACGAGGCAGTACAGAAGAAGACAGTCCACCTTTCAATTAAGAGAGACAATCAACTTATACAGGCAACATCTAGTCTTTTTGTTCTAGACTGGTGGACCAAGCATTCTTTTTAAATAAAATGTACTATGCTAATTAGGTCATAAAGTAATTGATGTCTAGTGTAAAAATACCAACAGAGTGGGGACTAAAGAGCTCACATTGAAACAGAGAAATGTAGACAAAGTTGAATGTTTTAGGTTTAAAATAATAATAAAAAAAATAAAACAAATACATAAAAAAAAAGTTGACCAAATACAGAATATTTAAGATTCTGCACTATTTATATCGCCAATCAAATGTCCACAGTCCATTATCATTTGAAAGTTTTGGGTTGGTGAAATTTTTTAAATGTTTTTATGAGACTTTTATGAAGTATCTTATGCTCACTGAATATACCTGCTCAAAAAGTAAAATTAGTGATATTGTGAAATATTAAATTAACTGTTTTATATTTGAATATATTTTATAATGTAATTTATTCCGGTGATGGAAAAGCTGAATTTTCAGCAGCCATTACTCCAGTCTTCAGTGTAATATAAACATTTAGAAATGAAGAAAAGCTGCTTAATATTTTTGTGGAATCTCTAGTACATTTTTTCAGGATTGTTTGATGAATATAAAGTTTAAAAGAACAGCATTTATTGGGGAATTTTTTTCCCCAACAATGTAACAATGTAAAAGTCTTTACTGACACTACTGATGAATTTAATGCAAACGTACGTAAGGTACGGTAGTGTAATGAAATGTGTAACCATCAAATACATTCAGTAATATATACATAAGCTACTCTGAAATTCATGATTTTTCAGTTCAACAAATGTAATGTAACCCAATTTCTTCTGCTAATAATTTTTATGATTATAAATTCTTATTAAAAATTGTAAATATATATTTTTAAAGAAGCACACTCAAATTATTGAATTGTAAGTTTTGCCAACAGTTTAAGAAATGTAATTCTTTCTCCATTCAAGTAAATAAGAACAGTGCTTTCTGCCCAAGGGCGTTACCAAGATGCCCACAGACTGGACTGATGCTGCCATTAAGTGAAGTCAGAATGGCCGTATTTACTGGTTGAATGCACAAGAACGCCACCACAATCTTGTAATTGCCAGTGGGAAACCCAGTATTTTCTTTGAGCCTTCTTTCAGAGTTGGGCCAGTCATTTAAAGAATCATCATGGAAGCTACTGTAATTGTATCATAAGTTGTAAGTAATTTACTTTAGTAGTTTGTACAAAAATAAACTAAAAAGAAAGCAGCAGTGCATCAATTGTATTCCAGTCAGAAGTGATTATTCCAATCCATCCAAAGCTTCATAAGTAGAAGCTTGCGACGAAAATCAAATATTATGAAGTATGAACAACATACATCAAATAAGTATGAAGTATGATACTTAATTCTGCCATCACTGATGAAATCGCTGCTTAACTTTCAGTTGGGTGGGGGTTAAGGATGCAGGTTATCATGCCTGGGACCAAAAAGAGAACAACTTGACTATCTCAGAGCTGAAAGGCCTCTGTGCATCGCAGTGCTGTAATCTCACTCATCTCTCTCCACGCTTACAAAATACCACATCAATAGCGTTTGCTCCAAGCGCAGCTGGATAAAAATACACCACCTTTGGTAACCCAAAGCGATGAGAACTTGTCTTCTCCACACTCTCATCATGCCTCTGTCTATCTCTCCATCTCTCTCGCACCTACTGTAGGGAAACAACAGAACTTCATTTCATCACCTATGAAGGCACGGCATCAAAGAAACTACAATGCGCTCCTCACTCAACTCTAGTTGCCAAGGCAACAATACAATAGACCTTATAAAGCTAATAAATAGTGAGGAGGAGGAGGAGGAAGATGGGAAAAAAAGAAGATGGGGTGAATGAAAGCATGAAAATGTGAGATCTATTCCTGGAGCTGCAGAGAGAGGACTTCAATGCCTTTACTGTGATTTCAACTCTGATCTGCGGCTTCAATCACAACAGCGCTTGGAATTCATGTCTTTGGCCTCCCAGAGGAGACGTTAACATGCAATTTCAGTGATGGGCCATTTTTGTCTTCGTATGCCAGCAGAATTAAATTAAAGTACTATCAACAACAAACCGTGAGGTCTCAATGTTGATAACCCAAAAATCTGCTTCTATTCCAAGGAATAAGGCGAAGAACCTCAGAACTTCATGCCACCAGATGAAACACGCTCAAAAACCCCATGAAACGCTACCATTACAAAGTCCTGCAACGGTGGGACACAGGACACATTTATTAGGGCAGACCGTTAGGGAGCAGCCATCAAAGAGAAGAGTAGAGGACCCCTCCATCTGAAAAAGCCCCCTGTTAGACTGGAGAGTGACTGAGATGAAAAGGCCCTTTTTAGAGTGGAGACCTGGCAAACAGAGATATAAACTCCCCTGTAGTGCCAAAAGGGTTTTGTATGCTGCAGCGATATTTCCTTCGCTATCTATCACCGTGTGCCTTCCTTAAGAGATAGCTTGTCTTGTACAGAGGGAATGGCGGGTAATGTGGCCAGGGAGAGTCATGTAACTCACAGGCCAACTGAGGCTTTGGTTAAAGGGTTGCCAGGTCCTCCTGTCACACATGCACAGTTGGGGAGGATTTCAGGAGCGACACAGATGAAGGTAATGACACCCGTTGGGATCTATACAAGTAACTGGGTTTAATAAATGGTAGAAAAGTTTGACAGCCCGACAGAAAAATTCAAAATTAACTTTTTGCCACACCTGTTAATGGGGAGTGAATTTACCAGCCATAAATCTTTCTTACCAGCCATAAAAAGCACTACGCAAAATAAAATAAAATAAAATAAAATAAAATGGAGTGACAGAAATACATTTCCTATCAGCCATATGTGCTTTATTTAGTAAATTCTACAATATAATATACATATATAATATACAATAAACAATATACTGTATATATACCTGTAATACCTGAATTGTGATTTAATTAATTTTCCCTTGCATATTAGTGACAAATAGTGCAAGTAATTGTGTCACTCACTGCAGAGATGAGTCAGTCTCCATCTTTTTGCGTGAAACTGACGCGAAAACGTCAAGACACATCATTATTTAGTTTCTTATATTAATTTGTTTAATGAGAGTTATTTCACATCTGGAGAAAAAAATTCATCTTTAGTCATCTTACTAATGGAAAAAGTTGTTTTTTAGTATATTTTTACTGTCCAACTCACAAATATTGACTTGCCAACAGTACAACTTTTACTAACAAATGGTGGGTGTTAATTTTGGATGCTGCCTGACTGAATGAGAAAAGTAAAGAAGGGTGAAAAAAATGCACTAAACAGGTAGATATTGCAACATTCCCCACTGTTACCGACCGTATCCAAACTAAAAACAGCAAACTTGGCAAAAGTGAATAAGCAGTAACTCTTATAATTAGATTCTCTCTCTCCCTCCTCCCAACTTTTCCCCATTTTCTCTGAACACATGCGTCAGGGGATCAGGATGCCAGACAAGCATGTGCACAGCATTAGTCGAAACCAATGGACTGTGAAGTACACCAGCGTCACCATGACTACCCCACCTCAGTACCAGGAATGACATTGCCATGGAAACGGCATCGACTGCCCATTCGGCCAGCAGTGCCGTAGGTGGATGCTGAGGAAATGACAGGCAGGAAGTGGCGGCCTTGGCAGTGAAACCGCCCATGCCAAAACAATGACGTCTGCTGAGATGCAGGCCTTGTGCAGAACCTCCCTGCGTTACTCTTTGAGTGCAGTATTTTTACCAACAATTCAGACCAAGGACATTCCCACATGCTCTGATGCCCGCTGCCAGTTTCATACAGTGCCGAGTAGCTGAGCAGCACTTTAAAATGCCGTTCAAGCCATTAAAAGGTGGTTTGATGAGTAATTTAGTCACACTTTTACAGTAGTGCCGCTCACAGCAGCGGGAATCACTCTGTTGTTGGCACAAGCACTCTGAGCCAATCAAGAGAGAGGCCTCCTGCTGAAATTAACATGTCTGAATAAAAGACGTAAAGGGGGTCGGGTTGTTTTATCCAGCGTGTGACCTCATTGGCTGAAATGCCTATAGAAACAGCATCCCTGTGAACAGAAAGTGAATCTGTCCCAAAGCTCCCATTATTTGTTCACTCAGACACTAGACACTTTTATACCTCCATATTCTTACTGCATGTCAGCAGTTTTCTCAAATCGTGTCTTTTTTTATTTGTCGTAGGGGATTACATTTGAGAAATCTTGTCCTCTAGACCAGCAAGAGGGAATTAAATGCTAAAGAAAGGACAGTCGTACCAGTGAGGCCGTAGTCTTCGACCGATCCGATGGAGCAGTTGGCGGGGCTGGCGGGGGGGCTGGTGCTGAAGCTGGCGTAGCCGAGTGATGAACTGACCTCTGAAGGCTCACCGCTGTGGTTCTGTAGGGGTTTCTGGACGTCCTGGGAGGAGGACAATGAGGTCCGTTGCTTTGGCTATGACAGGAAAGAGTGTAATGTTAGCATCAGTCACTTAAAGAGGAGACTTTTATGAGCCTTTTTTAGCAAGATAATATAGTCTCCTGCAACAGACCCTTACGTATTCTACCTAAATTATAATGTAGAATTTACACTTCAATAAAATGAAGAAATTGAAGGCCTTTTGTGAGGCACTCTAGCCCACATGGAAAGCGATGATGTGCAACATAACCAGTTACTGGATGCTGGATTCACTAAAAAAGAGTGGTATCACATTTCTGGACTGTGAAAATGAACGACAATGCATAAATGTGCAGAAAATTAAGAGCAGCAGACTGAGGGCGGTCATGTTTCACTGAGCAATGTTCATGTTCAAGATTTTATGGAAACCCATTTCTGCCTTAGGTAGGTGTGATAAAGTTTAAAATATATAAATTCACACTATGAGATATAAAGTCATATTCTGAGATATGAGATATGATATTGCAGGTATTAGTAATAGTTACAATTGAGAAATATACATGTAGCATTACATTTTGAGGTATAGAGTCGCAATTATGAGAAATAATCCAAATAAGTGTGAAAGATGAATTTAAATTCACAATTTCGAGAAATAGTTGCAGTTGTGAGAAAGTCAGAATTACAAAAACTAAAGTCAATTGTAAGATATAAAATTGAAGTAACAAGTAAAGCAGTTGCATTAATAAGAAATAGTCGCAATTGTGAGATAACGTTTTGCAGTATAAAGTTATAGTCACATTTATGAGATATACATTCGAAACTGCAAAATACGAAGTCAAATTGTGAGATATAAATGTACAATTATGAGAAATAGTTTAAATTGAGAGAAAGCAGCAATTATGAAAAACAGTTGCCATTGTGAGTCACAATTACATAAAATAGTTGCAATTGCGAGTCATAATTATAGGAAAACTGCGAAAAATAGACAAATATGAGATGAGATTTAAGCAATTAATTGAAAGTCGCAACCGCAAGTTTTGAAATCATAACAATAAATAAAACTTTTATTTGACAAAAATGAGTTTACATTCATTGTAAAGTTTACATTCATTGTAACACCAACAAAAATCATCATAACACCTTTTTTTGTCCATGGTGCCCATGCAAAACTACCAGCAACAATGCAAAAATGAGGTGGATTTGTTGTCAGGGTGTTGCTACACAGTTGCTTAATTGAGAGAAAGCAGCAATTATGAAAAACAGTTGCCATTGTGAGTCACAATTACATAAAATAGTTGCAATTGCGAGTCATAATTATAGGAAAACTGCGAAAAATAGACAAATATGAGATGAGATTTAAGCAATTAATTGAAAGTCGCAACCGCGAGTTTTGAAATCATAACAATAAATAAAACTTTTATTTGACAAAAATGAGTTTACATTCATTGTAACACCAACAAAAATCATCATAACACCTTTTTTTGTCCATGGTGCCCATGCAAAACTACCAGCAACAATGCAAAAATGAGGTGGATTTGTTGTCAGGGTGTTGCTACACAGTTGCTAAGGTGTTCTGTTTGGTTGTTAGCATTTTGCTGTGCGCATACTAGATGTACCAACAGATGCTTGCTTTCACTAACAATCTCAGCTGACATCCCGACAAAAATCAAATGCACTACACAATAGTTTGTCTGCAGGAGAGAAGGAAGTTTTGAAAAAGCCTGCAAGTAGGAGGTGGAATGGATGTGCGATACATATTGCTCAGCGAGAGGGAGAGACAGAGTGAGACAGGGAGAGAAAACAACAAAAAGAGATGACTATGTGCAGAGTCAAGCAGTTGTATAACCACAGGAAGCCTTACATAAGCATCATCTTCACTTCCTGTTGCATCACAGGTGTCCAAAATGCCAAATTAATTAATTTGCATGAGAAAAATGTCTGATTTAAGTGACTTAATTTCACACACACACACGCACTTGGCAGAAACCTGGCACCACTTGAAAACACATGAAAAAATACTGAAAGTAGAAAATCTGAGAAAAATTGAAAAAGATGGTTTTGGAGAAAGAGCAAACAAGATTGAAGCAAAAAGAGGGTGAAAGCAGCTATAACTGTGGTCTATACTATATACAAAAAAACTTTCATACATAAAAAATCAGTTTAAACCGAAAGCTCTACCATACATGCTTCATCCACACTTAAATCAAGTTTAATTCTTATGTCTACGTCTAATAATATACAATATGACTTAACCTCTTACTGCCTCCGGCCACATTATATTTCATCACCTCCTTGACGGCTGTTTCTATCACCTGTTCACAACACAATTCTCAGACTAGCTCTTGATCTTTATTCTTCCTTTATTCTCACATATGAAAAAAATATCTTTTGGGAGGACATGTCCTGTGTGTTAATTTACAAAATGGATATAATATTCAGTCCAAGTTTCTTAACATACTATTATACATAATTTCTTCTTTGCTTATGTTTTATATTTGATTCTGCAATTTTGTTTTGCATTTGCTGCCTCTGCTTATATTCTGCTTTCCAATTTGTATAACTATTTCTAACTATGTTCTGTATTTATTTTGTATTGTTCTCTTGGTTTGATTCCTCTGTTTGTTTTTGCTCATTTTGTGCAAGGGGACCTTGATTATTATTATTTACTATTATTATTGCTAATATTATTAGTAGTAGTGTTAGCTTACTGTTGATTGGCTGGTGTTTTAACGCCATGCCAGCTATTTTCATGTTGAAATAATATAAAAATAAAAATAAAATTTAAACCTTTATCAGTTTGCTTTAGTTATAATAGATTCAAGGTTGACTCTGTTAAAAAATTATTTAAGAGTAATATAATTTCTTTACAGCGCTTACACCAGCACAGTTTAATAAACTATGTTTAAGAGATACTGGACTCTGGCAAGAATCATATCATTTGATATTAAGAAATTGTGTGTGATTCTACGTCCTATTCAGCATTGTCTATATATCCGATCCCAACGATTACTGAAAATATTAATGCTATTATTATTATACCAAGCAGATATTTGACTTGTTTTTGATTTCATGTATACTCTATTTGTTCAGTTCAGAAACCTCACTTACTATTACAATACTGCTTTTCAATGTCATCTGAATGACTTTTCAAAAACTCTGCAGCACTTAATTGCCATCTTCTGTTGGAAAAGAGGTGAAAAAGACAGTTAAGCTAATGTTTGTCTTTGACTATGCACATCCGCCACAGTTTTGCCCAAATCTGCAAATTCAGGCAGTTTTTATTTTCTTGTCTAACACACCTTGTGTCAGGAACCGCTGCTAATGAACCTGTTACTCACACACACACACACACACACACTAGCAGTCTCACACCATGAACTCCTAATGAGTCTGTCATGGCTGACTGTAGTTAAATTAAAACACAAAACAAGCCTGTTTGTCAAACACACCCACTGTCTCCTCTAATAATGTTGTACAGCAGTCTCACACATACACACACACTGTCACAAACAGTATGCACACCTGCTTTACTTACATACACGTGCACGTATGTGGCTGCGTGTTAGCTCACTAATAATACCTTGATTATGTTGGCCCATTATTCAGAGAGCGAGCACAGAGTGAGAAATTGTGTGCTAATTTATGGATGGCAATTATGATAATTATTCAGTGGGCTCTGGGATGGCGGGGCAATAAATGCCACTAACGTGACTGTTTCACCTCCCAGTGGGGCATTCAGCACATTCAGGAATGCAATACTGTCAATGCATATGCAGATCACATTCAGCTCAAATCTCTGAGCGAGAATGTATAATTATGGAGAAATCATTCAGTGCTGATTTTATATGCTCATCTGGTTTGGGAAATATAATCACATTGAGTGCTGATCTAGAAGGAACTCAGGGTGAATCTCATGACAAATAAGAACGTGTTCGGATCAAATTCCTATTACCATAATGCGCAACACTCTCATAATGCTTTTTCATATTACAGTAATGAAGTGGTTCTCATTAAGGGGGCAAACTTGTCAGCGTGACTTAAAATTATTCAAATATAGTAATGAAAATCTAACCTAATTAAACTACGAGAACATAAAGAATCAGAATCTTGGAAGCTCTGGAATCACAAAATTAATCTATAAAATTTAATAATTTGGCTGATCCAATCAGAAGCTTTCACTTTTATAGCGAGAAAGTCATCACCCTAGGGTGTGGATGTGAATTTGAAAGTGCACCAATAATTCATATGAAAACGTAGCCTGTTTTCAAGGCTGGTTATATTACTGAGTGCCGTAATCAGTTTATTCATCCAGGTAAAGATACAGATTGAGGTGTCGAACAACCTTGATGTGTAGAGCAACACTTCTATCAACATTCCTCTTGCTTGCCTTCCATCTCACACATAAACACACACACACACACTTTCACTCACTTCAATACAACTGTCGTCTCCATGACAACGGAGGCAAAGCTGCAAGAACAGGAGCACCGCAATAACAACAACATTATCAAATATAGAGTTCATGTTGCTAAAAAAAGGAACAGGAACACACTCAGCAAAGGGGGAGGGCCTGCAATTCATTACAAAATGAGACGCCTCAAAGCACAAATCAAACCGACTGCAGGGTGTTACAAAACCTTTTATCCTTAAATGATCCTTAAACAAGCAACACCAGATGAAATCATGGGAAATTAACAGAATAGTTCAACCAAAATCATCTACCTCAGTACTCGAACCTGTATAACAGGATGTTCATACTGCTCATTTTCATACAACATATATACATATATATTAATTTCTATAAAAAAAAAATTCTTGAACGGTAAAAAAAGCTTGACAGTTCCTGGTCACCATTCACTTTAATTGTACTGAAAAGAGCAGCATGAACATTCTGGTAAACATCTTTTGTGTTGCATGGAAGAAAGAAAGTAAAAAAAAAATAAAAATCACATTGGAGTGAATTATTCTTTTCAAAGGAAATAAAAAGAGAGCAAGACATGAACTAAATATTCAAGAAAAGTATTCAAGAAAAGGTAAGGAGAGTTATGAAGCTTGTG